ATCATACATTGTATTTTTCTGGATTTTTGTTTTAGATTCCATCACTCACAGTTGAAGAGTACCTATGATAAAAATTACAGTCATCTACAAGCTCTGCAAGTGGGAAAACCTGAAAAATCAACAGTGTATCAAATACTTGTTCTCCCCACTGTATATATACTGTATGTCTGGTTTTGGACGTTACAAAAATTGTCTTTGTGTCTAAGAATGACAGGTTAAATTAGAATTAAATTAAATGATCAGATCTGATGTGACTATCTGACTATTTAAGGAAAAAAACTCTGGGTATTGTTGAAGATGATTAAACAGTTGTTTTCCTTCTTGTTAGGTCGACTTGGTGAAAACATTTGCGTGAAGCGGGCCGTAACTGTGGGTGTCCCAGCTGAGTGGCACATTGGCTCATACATACACGGCAGCGTCAGCAGCCAGACTGAGGTGGCCGTAGGGCGTTACGGTGCGCTGGTGATGTTTCGGGGCGGAAAGGAGGGAGAACAGGACGCTTTGGGTAGTAAATTAGGACAGCACATAGTGGGGGAGGCCCCTGTGTCTTTGGGTAATATGGATGACCTGTCTTGTGGTGACTCTGAGAATCGTCTGCTGCCTCAGACCTTTCTGTTTGACCCCAGCAGGACTGTGGCAGAGTTCCTCAGGGGTAAACAGGCTGAAATACTGGACTTTGTCCGATTTCAGTGTGGTGAGACGTCAACAGAAGAGACTGAATAAAGGAAGGGAACCTATTAGTAAAGGTAAATTACAGGTGATATCTTGTTGTGGAACATGTAGTCATACGTCTCCATCGTGAAYTTTACAGCAGAATAGTTTAACTTGSAGTCACTGAMGGTTGATGAAATTTACAAATAGAAAAATAAAACATTTCTTCTGGAAAAACCTGGCTTAGTGTCTTTATTTTTCTACCCTAAGTTGCAAAATGTGGTCTTTTAAACACTTAATTTAAATGTATTGAAGCTTTTGCTGTTATTTTTTTACATCTTTTCTAAAAGTGATCATACTTTAATGACAGAGTGTGGTAGAATTATAACAAATTGTTTTATTTTTAAAGTAACAGGTTTTTTTTACAATGTCCTTTAAAAAGCCTGATTTATTTTCAATATTTTGTTGTGAAGACAAGAATAAGGTTCATAWACCAAATACTAAGTTTGTAGTTACAAACTTTTAAACCTTTTAAATTTAAATTCTTCTTTAAA